ATCTAACATTTATTTGTTCAAATTGGACAAATTGCCATTTATGTGCTGAAAACCCCCACAACATTTTCACCTCCTTTTTGCTGTCATCCTTTGCATCACTTGACGGCTCTATGTAACGTGCTTCTTCTCAACCCAAGAACAAGGTGTATGGCCTTCATTTGCTAGTCAGCTAGTGTTTGGAACTTTGGATTCTGCTTTACTATTTGGATTTTTAGAGCATCATCAATGACATAGTGTTAACATGCTATAAATTTTGACACATGTCAAGTGATAAATGGAATTTTCATCCACCTCATTTTGGTAGACATTAAAATCGAAAAATGATCTTCAATAGTTCAATGCTTTGATGTCAACCGCCCATATAACCAAGAAACGTGTAACCACTTCCAAATTAAAATAATCCAAAACTGATACAGAGTATTTAATCAAATTACTCTTAGAACCCAAAAAGCTTCCCGATGCGCCGGCCACTTCATAGAAATACAGAACTACAGAAGTGATGTCAAATTGAATTCTTTGACTGCTCAAAGGCAACAAAACTCTCTCCATGGATCAAACTATATTTTGATTGTGATTTTGGAACTCAAGCCACAAGTGAATACAAAAGTTATCAGGCACTAATTAAACGTTATTTACTCATTTTATTCCACAGTGTGATTATACTCCGTATTATTCATAAGCAGAGAGGAAAAAAACAGGGTTTTCAAACTGAAGCAGTGATAGTCTATACAGATGGTTCTCCGAAGAAGGCAGGGCGCCGGCACTGCTAGCCTACCCACAGGACTGACTGCATCGGAAGCAAATCTTTGAATTTAAAAATCTGTTGCTCTCTATGAAACGTAAGCTTTACTCCAAAAATGTAAAGGTGAATGAATGCAGTGAATAATATTTTGGCCGGCAGATCGGCGGGGGAGGTTTGGTGAATATTTTCAGTAATTTTGGTTTTATGTATGCTGAGTCAGCATGTCAAGGGAGCTGTCGTGAGAAGACGGTCATGTATACGATGTCCAAATTTTATTTTGACAGCTCAGCATTACATGAATATAAACATGTGCATTGGAAATGAATATTGCACGGTAATATTAACAGGGATGACGTAGCGTTCATTTTTTAATGTCAAACACTGTCCGATTGCGGATGCTCTTAAATGATATGATTCTTTTGGAATTTTGTTTGTAATGTTTTAACACTTCTCCCGGTCACGCGATATTGATAACATCATAACCAAATGGTTTCAAACTAAATTCCTGAACAAATTGAGTACATTAAAACTATTTCCTATTTGTACAGAGCTTGGATTGATTTTTTTACTTGAATAAATTCATTTTAATTAATCTAATTTGGTCCTTTATTAGTACTTGTTGCTGGTTCTTTTCTTTTCTATTGGATATAAAATCCCCATAGTTTTAATTACTTGCTATCATACAAAAGAAGCTGTTATTTTTTCTTCATGAAACTCAAGTTTCATGGGGTTATGTCTAAAATAATACTAAAAAAAGAGCTATGAACAAAAAAGAGACCTTTATTCTATGTTGAAAGAACCGGACCGGACCGGGCGGGTCGAACCGGAACCCGGTCACCCGGCTCCTGATCCGGTCCGGTTATGCTCCAGCCTGCTAAGTTGCTAAAACCCGGAAAACCCCGAGTGACCCGGGTAGAACCGGGACGGACCCGGAAGTCCGGAACCGCATAAACCCGTTAATTTTCAAAAACCCGGAAAAAGGACTAACTCACCACCTACGGGAATCGAACCTGCATTGCCAGGAAGGAGTTTCGGCTTCCATTCCACTCGGCCACCATCACTTGTTGGTAAAATGCATAGCTTTCAGTCTTATATTCCATATTACGTGTGTACCATTCATTAACATTAAATAATTAACTAACTAAACAATTCATAATAACAATAATAACCATAATAATAATGCATATATATTATACGGACTATATTATATTCCATATCTCAATTAAATATGAGAATATATTTACATTATATTTTAAAAATTTTGTAATTGATGTTATATCTATATTTATTATCCACCTACATCCAAATCTATTTAAAATTTTATTATAAAAACCAACTCTAAATAATGATTTCATAATGGCTTTATGTTGTATCATAATTATTAATTTATGAAAGAATAACATTAGAATTTAATATTATATACGTATAAATATTAAATATTAAATGTGTGTGTGAGTTGACCGGGTTTTCCAGTCGTTGACCGGGTTGACCCGCCGGGTCCGGGTTGACCCTTGACCCGATCATCGCCCGGGTCACTCTCCGGTCCGGTTCTTACAACATAGCCTTTATTTCAATTTTCCAAAAATGAGACTAACAATGGGTTAAGAGACTATTATACCCTTATTTTAATAGAATCTCACCCATTAGTCTACAATAACGCCACAGTGACCAAAACCATTATCGTGACCAAAATTCGTCACTGACCAAAAATCATTTGTGACCAAAAATCCAAAAATCCGTCAGTGACCAAAATCATTAGTGACAAAAAATTCTACCTAGTTACCAACGTCAACCCGTCCAGTGACCAATCTGACTAGTGACCATGACCAATCCACCCAGTGACCAAAAATCATTTGTGACAAAAAATCCAAAAATCCGTCAGTGACCAAAATCATTAGTGACCAAAAATCATTTATGACCAAAAATCCGTCAGTGACCAAAATTCGACTAGTGACCATGACCAATCCACCTAGTGACCATGACCAATTCACCCAGTGACCAACCCGATTAATAACAGTTACATGATCCTCCAGTTACAATTATCTGATTCGCGAGTTATAACTGTTTACAGTTACTCGGTTCAACTATTTACAATTACATGACCCGATCAATTACTCCAACGGAAGGACAATTATTCGAGCTGATCATTTTCAGTTACTTGCGCCGTCCCGTTGACCACGTACAGTTACCTGGTGACCACCGCTAGCCACTGTTACCGGCGGCAGGTGGCCACCGTCGCCGGCAGCCACCGCCCTACCCAACTGTTTTGTCAGTTAGCCCCTCCCATCTCTGGTGGCCAGCCGTCTCTAGCCCCAATCCCAACCCATCTCCTGCCTCCCCAACCCCCCGGCACCGCCAGACACTGCCGCCCGCACCCAACCCTCTCCCGAACCTCGCACAATCGCAGCCCCACCTCCTTACTCCGCCCCCTGTTACCGCTGCATTCCACCTCCGTACCCTTCCCCCAGATCCAGCACCAACTAGATGAACCCTAGCCGCCCGACGGACTCAACTCATAGGTCGAACCCTAACCAGCCATTGTAATCACCCCACACGGCCGCACCTTACCTCGAATCTCTGTCCCCACTCACCGTGCGATCTGAAACTAACAACTTGATTCAATATTCGATCTAGTAGAGCTCGTGGCTGAAGAAGGGATAGAAGAAGAACTAGATTCGGTCGCCGTTGTAGATTTGAAGCTCGTCGTCAAAGATGGCATCTAAACAAGAGTGAAGGATCCTCGTAGTTTCCGATGGTGGTGTGCGATGACAAGGTTGTGGAGTTGCGGCGGTGAAGGGGATGCGGCGGTGCAGGAGTCCATGGTTGAAGCTGTGGAGAGAGGCTGGCCATGCTCCTTGCTGGTGAGAAGTGGACAGTTGAGTTGCTAAGGAATGGGGCGGACATTTTGGACAGGAGGGATAGGGGCCTATCAGTCCGATGCGTAATTATTACTCTCTTTTTTGTCAATTCAAATTCAAAGTCCTATTTGTGTCCAGTCGAAAGTCAGTGGTATTATTTTTGCAATTGTTTCAAGTTTCATTTGATTATGACGGACTTGATTCAAAAGTAACGGTGAACTGTTAGGTTGCGATTCATTTGATTTAAAAACAATTGTTTAGTTCATTAGGCCCTAATTGCTTGAAGGCTTCAACTCTTAATCCTTTTTAAGAGTTTCTTAAAAATATTTGCAAAATCCAAGTTGAAGCATTGAGATTTTCCAAGAACGCCTTAATTAAATAGATGATGTATTGATGCATGATGATGCCTAATTGCAAAAACATGTCCAAGACAAATATTTAAATGTAATGAGCGAAATCTGATTTTTGAGTTTATCATAATGCATGCTTATCTAAAAACTTATATTGTAATAAACCAAATCCAAGAAAATTGTGATAAAAAAAAACTTTCTAGCATTTTAGGCCAGACCAGTTTGGATCTCAAGAAAAGTCTGTTGCTACAATGCTACCTCTACATCAATAAAGTAGATCATTTACCTAAGTATTCTCAATCTGAACGATCTAAATAAAAACAAATACGTCTGTGTAAGGTATTCTCAACAAAAAGTGAAAATCATCTTAATTGTAATGACGTCTTTACTAGTTTTGCACTTCAAAAGGCCAGGAGAATTGGGTATTAAAAAATACATTTTTTTAGTACATTTTACGTATGTTACATTTAAAACTATATTGTTTTGAAATTCATATTAAGAAGAAGTAAAACATATGTTAAATTTGGTAGTAATATATGTTTATTGAAGTTTTTGTGAAGCTTTTCCGCCTAGGGCCTCCAAACGGCTGGAGCCGGCCCTGATAACAGTTTGACTAGGCATTCTTAGTCAAACATAAATACCGACATAAAAGAAGTCTTAGGGAGTGTTTGCAATTGCTTCAACTTTAAAAAAGTAATTTTTTAAAGTGATTTTGGGAAAAGTGATTAATAGTAAAAGTTGGTAGTGTTTGAGAAAAAAGTGATTCCGGAAAAGTAAAAATTGGTAGTGTTTAGTAAAATAAGTACTTTTTGTGTAATAGAAAAAGTGAGAAGCAGTTTAAAGCACCCTTCTACCTGCTTCCAGCTTTTAGCTTTTAAGTGATTAATTTAAGCAGAAGTTGTCATTTGAAAACACTCTTTTCAACTGTTTTTAAGCCAAAAGGTGAAAAGCGCTTTTTTTAAGCAAACCCAAACACTCCTTTATTCTTGTTTAGATTAGAAACCCATGAAACTTCAACTCTTAATCCTTTTTATTTCATCATTCCCATCAAAGAGCACAAAAGAGACCGAAAAGATCAACCGAGGGACATATTTAAGGACTAGATAAATATAAACAAACCCGAATTGACCTTTTTTTTGGAGTAGAACCCTTCATGACATGCAGGGTGCTCATGGCTTCCTCAATGTGGAGAACCCATCCTTTGGAATTTGGAGGGATAATGTTGAAGATAAAGGTCATATACGATGCCTACAAATGCACCAGCATATATACACAATTTATTGAGAATCACCGACCTTTTGCCAGAACATTCTCTGGGGTTGAGTTCTTGAGACCTATAACTTACATCAACCCTAAGATAGGGTAGTCAGGCTCAACTATGACAGTAAGAAGATTCACAATTTCACCCAGATATTAACAACTTAGGGATGCAAATCCTAATCGCCAGCCGTCTTAAAATTGTGAGCTTGACTAGTTGACTACCCTTTCTTGATAAGATGCCCTTTTTCATATAGTGTTGCATTTTTTTGAACTTCTTACATTTGTACCTCAGCTAGGGCTGACACCCCCCTCAGTTGGTGAGCCTGGAACAAAGGGAACAAATCCCCTGCCACCAAAAACAGGCCGCATAAACGAATCATCAAACTTACGCCAATAGCGATGCACAGTATGAGTCGGTGTGCTTAGAAGCATGCGTAAGGCGGTAGGTCGAGGAACATCCGCCGAGGTGTCATTTAGATTGTTTTCTGAATCGTGTTGGTTGTCAAGAAGTGGAACAGTGAAGTCCCTCGGAGTACCAGATTCAGATGTTGTCATTGATGAGAAAGCACTAGTTGACTGCTTGTGTAAAGGTAGCAACAGACTTATAAGAGGTTTTGTCATAAAGCCAAATACCTATGCACATCATAACACCAATCAAATTAGTGTTGGATCTAGCTGAATTATCACTGGAGGAAGAGAGTCTGTACAGGAGACGGTAGTCCCCTCCCCCCTCCTTACCATTGTGCTGAATAGAACAACAGTAACAGTACTGGTAATCATTATTGCATTCTCTTGCACTTGTGTATGCCCTTTACTTGTAAACTGCAAGGGTATATAAATGGTATTACCAAGCAGAAAGAAACGTAAAGAGCAGCCAAGCAGATTCATATTCTAAGTGGGATCATGACTAACAACTATAAACATCTTTACCTTATTATACGCAAGTGCTATTGAGACAGCACCTCTCATTAGACCAGCCCACCAAATTATTATCTAATAGAAAGGAGTAAGAAAAGAATATTCAAATATGTATAAGAGAAGAACAAATTCTGAAGGTCTGAAGGATAACTCCTTACTTGCTGCCTGAAGGATATCTTGTCAGAAGTATTTTTCTTTGCTAAGTTGGATAAAAACGATAGGGGAAAGACAAAGGCAGCTCTGCCTACTAGGATAAGTCCTACCAATATTGAGCTAACTGCAACCGAGAGTCCAGGGCTGCAAGAAAAGTGATCAGATACAAGAAGGTCGAGAGGTTCATGAACTAAATTACAAAAAAAAAAAAGTGACACACAAAAGTTCCTTACTGTTGTGATCTTTTAGAGCTGAATATCTTGAAGTTAATCAATGGTGTTGACAAAAAGCTTATGAACTATGAAGGATCATAAGTATGTGTGTGTGCATCGTCTTTCATAGTTGACAATTAATCACTGCTTCAAGCATATATAGATTATTAAAATGACCTGTATGGCTGTATTCAACATACCTATCACTAACAAACTTCCACTTCTCAATATCTAAGGCATCCATACCAACATAGAGAAAGATAAATGTCTCGGCGACAAATGATAGAGTTGCGAAGGAATGCCTGCAACCACAATGGAGATAGAATAAAACTTTAAGAGGCTGTGAAATAAGGGCGATTTTGGCTGAAATGACTGAAGTTGCTGATTTTTCTGAAGTGTAGTTGAAATAGTTTATGGCGCAATCTTGATGTATTATCAAAAACTAAAATATTTCTTAGTAAGTAATGAAAGTAATAGCTAAAAATGAAGATATAGCTATCGCTTGCATTCACTTTTGAAAGTTAAGCCAAAAAAGTACTTTTGACGCTGTTTTTTCTTTATCAAAAATTAGGCCTGTGTTGCCAAATAAAGTGGGTAAAACATCTTGTTGATAAGGAAAAAAGAAAAAAAAAAGGGGAATTTAAGTAGTACAAATGTTTTACAAGCATACTTGGTAGTGATCCTTGAACTCTCAGTCACATTGTGCCAGGTATAATGGGACATGACAATTCCACAGAAGAATACTGTAAGTATGCCACTGAGATAAAATAACTGCAGAAGATGGAAGCATTAGCTTAATTGCAACTAGTGAGCAGCTCAACACTATCACGAGCATTAATGTCACAAGTGAAATCTTGCCTCAGCCATAATATAGGACAAGTAAGCCATGAGAATCATAAGGGCAACCTCACGATCCGTAGAGTGCCTGATATCACAAATCAAACAAATGAGACTAAGAGCTGTAAGAGAAAAGCTGAAACTTAACAAAAAAGAAAGATGAAATACCAAGTTAAAAAAAAATCACATATTTTTTTTGACAAATTAAAGTATGTGTTTGGATTTCTCAATGCAGAAACTGCCCTAAATAGGATAAAAAAAATGTGTGTACTTGTAAAGTAGGTTGTAATTTGTAATACCCTTAATGCACATTATGTCAATTAGGGGACAAATTCAAAGTTTTATAAGAAAAAACATGCAGCTGTTTAATGCAAAAAGGTTTCCATTGAGACTGGGAAGGATATACCTACAAGTTTTACCACTGCCATGGAGATATGATGGCATAAATGAAGAGTACATACATTTTCACATGAGTATTTGGCAGAACAGATATGTACATTTATACCAATGAGATCTCATGGAAATGTTTTCTTGTTTTTGTGCAGCTTCAAGTTACCTACCAGAAAGAATATTACGCCCTCTTCTCCAAATTAGTTTCCCACTTCCATTTTCATTACTCAAATTATCTACTCATTTCCTATTGTTTTCCCCTTTCTGAGTCTTATCAGATATTTCACTACTTTAATAAGCGTGACAAAAGAAAATACATATCTGTTCTGCCAAATACGAATCTGATTTTACTTCTTTGAAGTTTTTCGATCTCTAATACTTTATGAAATCATTAAAAACAAAAACTACTCCGTATATACTATATTGTAATCTTTAAATGTGCTCTTACAACCAAAGCCAAATCGGCCAAATCTGAATAGCTTATATGCCAATTAGAATGCATTTTTTTATCCTGTAACTGTAGCGGCTGACTTGTTTCATGTAGTATAGCAAGTACCTATCTAAGCAATTTCTTCTACAATAGCAAGTTAAGACAAGATCAGCTCATGCTTAGTTTGTGAGTGCAAAGATGAAATTTCTCAGGCAAAAGGACTATACAATGTGTACGGACTACGGAGTTCATTTAATACCTACATTCATAAAGTTAAAATCCATAAAAATTGTAGAACGTAGATGCTGAGACTTAGGGATCCCTTACAATAACTTACCTCCCAAAGTATAGCTTTTTGATAATATAAGCACTGAGCAGTCCAGTCTGCAGATCCAGAACAAGAGGCAAAATAAAATTGAGGCAAAATGTATATGAAGGGAAAATGTGAAGAAAATCATAAAATAAAACAAGTGGATACAAAAGCATCCAGACACACTCTAAAAGGTATGGGTAGGCATACATGCCAGCAAACAACACAAGGTGTGAGAGGTAGTGGGACAAGAGCTTACTGCCACACCCAGAGAAGTGCTCATGAGAAATAAGTATAAGAAGTTTCCAAGAAAATGAAGCCCGATCTTGGGATCAAAACTTGACATGTCAAAACTTTCAATAGCATTGAAAAGCACCACTGATGTAGCATCATTGACAACTCCCTCCCCAAACACAAGACTGTAAAGTAGGGGTGTCTCATCTTGACTGAGCACCTGTTGCATAATAGAAACTTATTATGTATTTTGGAAATAGTGTTTCACCAAATTGAAAAAAATCAGTTCATAATATTCAGTACCTGCAATGTACAAACAGAATCGGTTGCAGCAAATATTGCACCAATTGCTAAAGTTGTTTTGAATAAAAGAACAATAAAAGTTGTTAGAACCAAGAAATATGAAATCAGTGTTGTGCGTGTGTTTGAAACAGATAACATATACTTGATACCTAAATAATCTCCAAAATCCATAAAGTCAATTTTCAATTTCTTGAAAATCTCGACAGCACCTACATAAAATAAGTTCTAGCAATATAAGTTGATAATTTGTGAATAAGCTTTTAAACAAACTAAAAGAACACTTAACAACTAAAATAAATGATGGTCGAACTAGATAAGATATTGATGATGCATTACATCATTGCCCACCGGGGGGGGGGGGGGGGGGGCTAAAAGTGAAGCAGTTTCTGATAAGTGAGGACATCAACAATGTATTCATAGCATCTCATGCCTTCAATGAATACAGCGGCTATGAATTTATGTTATTCATAATCTCATTGGGCACAGGCTACTCTGGTATTATTAAGTATACCCATCAAGCATAATGTGAAAATAAACCTGAGTGAGTAACCACAGCACATATGTTTTATTGGTTCTTAAGTATTAAAGCACTCAAGCAAGCAAAATGTAGACATGAAAACACACAAAAAAAAAGTATCCAGGTTCACTTCCTATTTCAAAAGCAGTAAAAACGAGGTACTGATTTCTATAAGAAACACACTTTCCCTATATCACCAGAAAACAAGAAAAATATATAAATCGATTCGAGATGGTACATTAGCAGTTTTCTATCCCACTTATATTTACAAAAACAAACTATGGTACAAGTTAACAAATATTTAAGTTGCAACATAAAGTTTTTTTTTGTCAAAATGCAGGAGAAAGATGGTAATGAGTAAGTTAAGGTATTGGTTTGTATACCAACTGATATAATAGCACATGAAATCAGTGTACCAACAGCTCCAAACAGCATTATAGTCATGAAGTTCACGAAAAATTGCTTCTTCTTCACCTGAAACCTGCACAAAGCAGTGGTACACTAAGAGTTACTCATATAATTTCTGGAATTGGTTATTGATTTCATACACATACACGGCCCTAGAACTTTGGAAAACTATAGCTACTACTAATCCTGCTATAGTGTTAATATATTTAAATCCCTTGCATTTCTCAAATTTAATTGCTACATAAAAATAGGGAAAAAGGGCCAAAAAATAACCTTACACCTCAAATTAATCACATCAACCCTTATACTAAATAAAGTACCATATAAAGACGCTTACTTTACCGAAATTGAACCTCCTAATAGGTCTATAACAGGTTACCTTTTGAAAATAACTGGAAAACTTGAAAAAATGAAAAAGTCATACAAATATACAAATAATCAGAAGTATTTAATAATTAAAAATGTATACAAATCAAAATGAAAAAATGAAAAAAAAGTGTAAAGTTTCCACATAACTAGATTTTTATAAAAAAGATAAAAATGGGTTTATTTTTTCATTTGAAACATACTTGATTTGAACCAAGTTTTTGTGACAAATCATATACCTTTTTATAACTTTTTGTAGATTTTCAAATAATCTATAAATATTTACATTTTTATACTTTTAAAACTTTTTATATTTGATATTTCTTTTTATAACTTTTTATGTTTTTAGTTATTTATAGATCTCAACTGTTTGACATCCTTAGTTCTATACCCTTGAAATTTTGATGACCTTCAAATTTTTATCAGTTTTTCTCCATTCCTAAATGGCTAGAATGATTTTTTATTCAAAGTAAGCGTATTTGTATTATACCTTTTTCAAGTATAAGGGTTTACGTTACTACTATTAATTTGAAATAGTAGAAGAGTTTATTTGGCGTTTTTTCCTCACAAAATGGATTTTCGGTTCCTCTGGGAAACACCATTCATGTTTTCAATCCAATTACAAGTAGAGTTTTACCAATGTTAGCAAATATTATGTGCTACACGTTTTTTATAAAATAAAGACAAAAAAAGTAAAATACTTAAATCTCCAACCATGTAAAAGCATGTCTGGTGAACCTTTTTCTTTTTACAGAAATACTTTGTTTAATGACAACTTTTTTAGCCATAATGTGTAAATGAACTTAATTGGCTGAGAGTATGATCAAAATGACTAAACTGAAGTATTGAGCAAGATAAATATTTGTGGACTACATGTGGAAATACTAGCTCAGATCATTTTGAATTTAATGGCGAAACATAATGCAAAGACAACTATCTAGTTTTCTTTCTATGGGGGGGGGGGGAGACTGGTTTACGGTCGAAAGATGAAGCAATATAATGAGGGTAACTGAGAAAAGCAGTTTATACAAGGAATATGAGCATTCAACTAAACACAAGTAATACAGTTTCAGATTTAGGAATTACCCAGCATTGAATATTATTGGCGGAAGGAGATATATGAAGAAAAGATCTTCACTAAAGACAAAAAGATGGGAACTCTTTCCCCCGCTAAAGAGTAAAATAACAACTCCTGTGCATAAACCCTGCCATCAATCATAGCAATTTATTTCTAGATATTAATAGCCAACAGTGAAGGATCAGAAAGATTGAAATAAAAAAACTAATATAAGATCCATGTACACTAGTCTAATCAAGCTATCTATACATGTGCTTTCCTATTTTACATGCTACTCGGCTGTGTCACTTATATTAAAGACTTCCCCAGTTCAGAGTCACAAGCTAGAAAAAAGCCTTAAGAAGCTGTTGAATTGGCTGATACCCTATGGCTTAACATCTATACGTTTGGAAATCTGAATAGACCATCACATTCATAGGGGTCGTGATAAATGAAACTGAGTACCAAGGGATGAGATTAATAACATAGGCTTGAAAGCTCACAAGTATAAGTGCAGTAATGGACTCGTTCACCCAGCGGTTCTCCTCTAGTAGATGTCCAAGAACAATGCATGCGCAAAGCAGCGCGACGAAGAGGTTCATAGACACAACCGAACCATGGTCCGACGTGAGCAATTCCGTCTTGGAGAACAAAGAAGACAACCCTAAAGTCATTTCTTTGCCCCTTTCTCCAATGAAATGAATGAACTTTCTCACCGAAAATCCAAACCACCCTAACCAATCTGTGTATTATATCTTTTCCTGATTTCCAGATGTCATTAGAGCGCTTTCTGTTCACTACGTCTCCGGGATATCCATTCCAATCCCTACGGAAATCTAAATGACACAAAAACCAATCTTTCGGCTGATCAAGATAAAAGCTTCATAGCTCTCCCAATCACACAGTCCAATATGACAATATCACAATGATTTAAAGGCTATGTTTTATGGAGTGCATGAAAGGGTTAAAGGCGATTCTTAAAGCAGAATACTTTATGCAAGAAACCGAGAATCTGGTCGATTTTCACCCTAAAATCGAACAGAAATTTGTAAAAACAGAAAATAAACACAGAAACTTTCCGGGCAAATAGCAATATAGGGCTGGAAAGATGACGAATAGACATGTGAATGTGAAATGTGGAGGAGCCTAAAGCTTCTAGAAAATCGCAGGATTAACGTGACTCGCTCTTTCTTCTTTTTAATTGTAGTCATAGATGTATATCTATGTGATCTAACTGCTATATCATCTTCAATACGTGTAAAGTTGGCGATGATCATAGAGACTAGGGAAGGAATACTCTTCCGCGCAGTATTGAAATATAGGCAGCGCTAAAATCTCGATCTGGCGGGGAATCGCTTATTTTGGTACCCAGCTCAAATTTAAACGTGAGAAGAGTCTATTGAATAACAAAAATGCATACCCGCCCCTTTGTCGAGTGTATCTTGTCTGTCCAAAAAATTGACTTTTGTTTTAGTAAAAAACTAAAAACTATTGTTAATTTTTAATAATATATGAAGTTTTTTTTGAATTCTTTTAGTTCGGTTTGGTTTTGTTCGAAATCTATCGGTTTTGGTTCGGTTCAATTTAATACAGTTTGGAAGAAATAATATCAAGTTTAAACCAAATTGCATACGGTCCGATTTCGGTTCGGTTTAGTTCGGTTTGGTACGGTTCGATTAAACCAAACCGTTATGCTCACCCCTAGTTCCCTTTATTAAAATGAAAATAAAATGTATGTGCACTGACAAAATGCACTAGATCAGTAAACGAGCGTGTAAACTAACGTACACAAGTAACATTTTTCATTGAATAGTTTCCTCAACATGTTAATAACTTTATACAATCATGTGTGATCATTTATTTAAATGAGTCATTGTATTTTAAATACGGAGTATAAAAATCAATATTTCATTACGCGGAATTTTGCGACAGGCATCTAATGGCCTGTTTGGATTAAGTGTTAGGGAGTGTTAGTAATGAAAGTGTTGGGAAGTGTTAACATTAACATTTGTTTGGGAGAAAAATTATCAAGTGTTAGCAACTGTTAATAAGTGTTAGAAAACGTTGCTAATTACCTTCCCAAAACACCTCAAATGTCCATTATTTTAACACTCCCATTTGGAGTGTTTTGAAGTGTCACAAATACTACCCTTCTTCCGCAAACAACCATCTCGTATGATTATGTGTGCCTGTCCGAATCTCTCATCCTTCTTCCAGGTTAGTACTCTTATCTCACCTCATCTACTGCTAATGCTCAATCCTCGATGTTTCCCCTGGCAGCGACGGCACACAAATCCATCAGCGCCTTCTTGAAAGAGCTGGAATTGGAGTTGCCGGAAGAATGAGATTGCCGGCGGATAACATCAAAGAGTTGACGGAAGAGCTTCAGAATTTGAAGAATGGGTAGAAATTAGAGTTGCCGGAAGAAGGTTACTTCAATTCTTCATACTCAAAGCAGAATGTGATGGACGATGCTTGTATTTCAATTATTCATACTCAAACTGATTGTCATCTTTGTTGTTTGAAATTATACGTATATACTTCGTGTTATATATATATATATAGAGAGAATGAATCAGGTGAGAAGCCTCACACGGCTGAAAAGTGAGAAGCTGCCAGAACCGTCCGATTAAAAGCTTATCAATGGTCCAATTTTAAATTAACAAACGGCCCAAAAGTTTACTTTATCGATTGCGGCGAACATTAACAAACACGCTGAAATTCTCTGGAACTGCAACAAGCATCTTCGAATAGCCATCTTCTACGAAGTTCCATCGCACCTGCTACGGCGAACTACGACGGTAATCGCACCGACTACCGCGACCTTCAATCACAAAACGACGGTAGTCACGCTTATAGAAGATAAACGACCCTCGAGGTTTAATACCTGCGACGAATTGGAACAACAACGAAGTGCGACGAACTGGAACAGCAACAAAGTGCAAAACCGAAAAATCTAGAAGACAAGTGTGGCTAGGTATTATCGAAGGTATATTGCATTCGACATTGATTTTTTACATAACAAGTTATGTGTTACTGTAAATCCAACTTCAATCGAACAAAATTTGACCTAACTTTTACATTATTACTGAAATTTCTCAAGTTTTAAGTTTGAAATATGTATTTCCGTGTTTATTTCATGTGTTTCTGTGGTTATTTAAAGTTTGTAAAACTCATATGCTCTATTGAAAAGTATTGATGTTTAATTTGTAATTTTTTAAGAATTAGAAGTTACCGATTGAAATTTATAACGATTTTAATTTGTTTATTTTCTGAAATGAGGAGAATGAAGTTACCACGTTCAAAAACAAATAAGAAACCGGAATTCATTGCAGAAGAAGGTAGCCAATGTAATTTGGAGTCCACTGTTGAAGTGAATGTTCCTGTTCTACAAGATTATTTGAAATTTAAATTCATGTATATGATTGATAATTACTTTAAGTTATGAAAATTGGTTATGAAGTAATGAAATTTGTAATAAAAGTGCAAGGACTTCCAGAAGAAGGAAATTCAAATTGGTCTACAATTAAGAAAAAGTTTTACAAAACAAGGTCAGGGACTCAAAGGGAGAAGCAGATTTTGGATAATATGAGAAATGATATTCCTGAAAATTGTGTTGTGTCTCATGTAGTAGCAGAACAAGGTATGTGCTATAAGTTACTCATCCTTTAAAGTATGAGTGTTTCTGTTTTTTATTTTAATAGACAAATTATACATTGCAGATGGAAATAACAGAGTTTCAAGGAATGAAGAAGGTATATTATGTTGTTATTTAAAAATAATATCTGTATTAAGTAATATGAAACTCATGGAAGAAAAATAAAACAGGTTGTGCACACTTGTAACTTGTAACTAAAAGTTAGAATTATTTCATTAATAGTTGAAGTTATTCATATAAAAGTTTGAAGTTTTCTATTTTTGCTTTTTATAGAGGAGCATAACAATGGAAAGGAAGATGTGGAAGTTGAAATGAATGAAGAAGGTATATTATGTTGTGATTTGAAAATAATATTTCTATAAAAATGAAAACAGGTTGTGCAAAATATTCCCTTAATATGTAATTAAAAAAACTGTGGGTATTGAAGGGTATAGAATGAATACTTGTTATTAAAAGTTATAATTATTTTATTAATAGTTCGAGTAGTTCATATAAAAGTTTGAATGAATCTGTTTTGGTTTTTATAGATAAGGATAACAATGTTGATGGAAATGAGGAGGCTTCAAGGAATGAAGAAGATATCTTATTTTCTTTTTTAAATAATATGAAAATTTTAACAATGAAGATTATATAATGAATATTTACAATTAAAAGTTATAGTAATTCCTAAATTACGTTTTTATAAAAAAGTATGTATAAGACCTTATGTTTTACAGGTCATACCATTTTTAGTAAAAGTATTCCCTTTTATTAAAGAGGTATGCTTCTCGGATTATTTGTATTAAAAAAACAAAAAAGAGGACCTGAGAGTCTTAGTAAAAGTTAAGCCTTTGGGTTTAAAAGTTACGTTTTTGGGTTTACAAGTTAGAGGAATTTGAGTAAAATTAATGTTTTCTTAAATCTCTCTCAATAGAATTGTAGATTGTAAACACTTATGATAAAATAATTATTTACTTTATCACTTTTTTGGGATAACACGAAGAAGTTATTTAATTTATTAATTACATTGAGAAAGTGTGAGTTGATGCATTTTCTGTTTCAGGCTTCTCTACATTGACAATTATTGATAAGGATCAGCGGTTACGGGTAGGACTGATGGGAGTGCACCTACTAATATTAAAAGTTATGAATATGTTATTAAAAGTTATGAATATTTAATTAAAAGATATGAATATTTTATTAAAGATATATTTATAAGTTGAGAATTTCCTGATAAAAGTTATGATTCTGATTTTGTTTGTGTTATGAAAATGGTTCTTTTTTACCTTTATTGGCGAGGACAACAAGTATGAGAAACTGAGGCAAAATGAGATGATCCCTATAATGATGGTCAACATGGTAATAATTTTGTAATTTCATTTTTTGTAATTTATTCATGTCACTACTTGTCATTTTATAGTATATATATTTAGGATTCAAAAGTTACACTAATATTTTCTAGTGGTTAACTTACAAGTTATGATATACTTTATAAAAGTTACTATTTTTGTTATATTAGTGTTCGTCTAATCTTTAGAGGTGTGTGACGCTGAGTCTGAAGCTGTTGTTGATTCCTCTGACAAGTAACAATATTGTCTTACTAATTTTTCATCACTTTAATAATGTTGGTCTGTGATACCTTTGGATGGATGTGTTATATTTTGAGAAATTGATTTGATGCTTTTTTAGGGGGGGAAGTACTTGTCTAATCTACTTTTTGAGGCATGTTTGTGAATTGAACAAGGTGAAGTTATAATGCATGTACATATCATGTAGAAGTATTTTGTAGAGTCCTAATTCGAATGCGTACTTGCACTCTAATTTATCTTAAAAGTTGCAGCAACTTGATTCAAAATAGACCTTTTATAATACCAGTTCTATTTGCTTAAAAAATGACAAGTTACATATCAAAATCAAGTTGCTGTAGAGTATGAACAACAAGATGGCGATCAAAGAAGAGACGGAGAAGGCTCTTTACAAAGTCAAACAAATGGTTTCTTCCCACCCCGTAGTCATGTTTAGTAAAACATATTGTTCATTCTGCAGTGGAATGAAGGACCTTCTTTCTGAGCTTGGTGCTGCTAAGGAAGTCATTGAGCTTGACAAACAAAGTGATGGGGCTGTCGTTCAGAATGCGCTACTTGAGTGGACGGATCAGAGGACTGTGCCAAATGTTTTCATTGCAGGGAAGCATGTTGGGGGCTGTGATGCAATGGTGGAGAAGCACAGGAAGGGGGAGCTCTTCACAACGCTAAAAGAGACTGGTGCCCTTGGTACGACGCCTGCTCAGCCGACTTGTGGTGAAACCAGCGACACTCCTAGCAAGCTGCAGCCTGCTTAGCTGTAGAATATATCTGAATGGAACAGGTCATAACCGTTTGGATAAAGAAGGTCGTTCTTAATTAGAGTTTACTACTAATAATAATAATCTTGGTTGAAACGATGATGTAACCAAATGAAATGGTCCCTGATGTTGAAAGGCCATTTTTGTTTTTCTTTTATAACTCTATTAATTAAACTGGGTGTTTTATTATGTAAATGATATAAACAGAAAATAATAATCAACGATAGCAATCGTTGCCCGAAGCTTAAAGCTTAAACACCAATTTTATTTCTCCAAAAGCATAGTTTGAATGACCCTCTTGAGGGTTATAAATAGACTACAAGTCCCAATTAAAGTAAAACTCCTAAACAACTCATACTAGGAAATAACTTAAATTAGGAAACACTCATACTAGGAAATAACTTAAATTAGGAAACACTCATACTAGGAAATAACTTAAATTAGGAAACACTCATACTAGGAAATAACTTAAATTAGAGTTGCCGGAAGAAGGTTACTTCAATTCTTCATACTCAAAGCAGAATGTGATGGACGATGCTTGTATTTCAATTATTCATACTCAAACTGATTGTCATCTTTGTTGTTTGAAATTATACGTATATACTTCGTGTTATATATATAGAGAGAGAGAATATATATATATATAGAGAGAGAAATCATCTCATCAGGCCGGCCTGACGGGCTGCCCCGTCTGGCCGAGCCCGTTTGGGCACCTTCCCGGTGGAATTTTTTGATGAAATTTTTTTAGCATGTTCCTCATCAAGTCTAGTTTGTCCATACCAAATTTCAGCTCAAAATTCGATCGGGAAGGTCGTCAAATGATTTTTGCAAGTTAACTGGTCCGGAAAATACATATTCCGGACCAGTTAACTTGCAAAAATCATTTGACGACCTTCCCGATCGAATTTTGAGCTGAAATTTGGTATGGACAAACTAGACTTGATGAGGAACATGCTAAAAAAATTTCATCAAAAAATTCCACCGGGAAGGTGCCCAAACGGGCTCGGCCGGACGGGGCAGCCCGTCAGGCCGGCCTGATGAGAAGAGCTCTCTCTCTCTCTCTCTCTCTCTCTATATATATATATATATATATATATATATATATATATATTGGTTCAAATGAGAACGAGTCTTAACGTGAGAACGTGAGAACACATCTCAGCCATCCAAAATCAATAACCATCTGCGATCAAATGAAACGTAGGAAAGGACATTTCAGTCTTCTAACAATTACGTTATCTCACATGGTAATTATAAAAACTATCCATACGGATGAATTTTTTCATTTCCCTAAAAACTAGGTAATAACAAATCTCAAATCATATAAAATTTCTTTAGTTTAAAAATTGATTTAACTTCTTAAATAATGATCCGATTTTAACAAAAATTATACCAAATTAAATAACTTTTTATGCTCTTTCATATGACACCAATATGTCATATATAATTTTTAAAAATAAAATATGTATAAAATGTATACAATAAAGAATAACACACATGTCACGCCCCGGACCGCGTTCGTGCCACGTAGACAACCGCCGTACAACCCAATAAGAACAACGTAGTTCATCCTTATCAAATCATACAAGGCGTCCGTTGAGTTCTATTGCCAAGCCGATTAGTAAACCCATACAATCAACATCAATATATATTAGTCAAACAAATGTGTCACGCCCCGGACCGCGTCCGTGCCACGTAGACAACCGCCGTACAACCCAATAAGAACAACGTAGTTCATCCTTATCAAATCATACAAGGCGTCCGTTGAGTTCTATTGCCAAGCCGATTAGTAAACCCATACAATCAACATCAATATATATTAGTCAAACAAATGCGGAAAATAAGATATGTTTGATGCTGAGCCACACGTGGCAAATACGGGCACGCAGGCCCCCAAATGTTTTAATAGAAAACATTGTTAAAAATATCCATGAGCAGTTTATCAGTTTTGAAGATGAATGGAAGCACGAACCACGTCTTCCTCCTTGATCAGTCACCCTAGGCAAAGGTGCAGGTAGTAGGACTCTAGCCTTAACCTGAAAAATGTGAGGGCCCCCGAAGGGGTCAGTACTCCATAGAAGTACTAGTGACAAGCAGGCTATATGAGGAATAACTAATGTTTCAGACACGAGACCCAAAAATAGGGTGGTACATATACTTATAGGTGTAACCATTGTTACCCCATCCCCAAGATAATACATACCGTATATACTTGTAAAATACTTGACTCGTAGGTCATTTTCTCGCAAAAGAGTCTTTTAGAGACAAGGTACTTACCCAACCTTTCCCCTTTCATTCCTGAATGCCTAGCTTAAGAGCTACATTCTACCTTCATAATATCCTACCGAGTTTCAGGAGTGTTAACCCTCCCGGGGATACTCAACCCCGACCGAGTTTTGGGATCATTTACCGTCCCGAGGATACTCAACCTCAACCGAGTTTTAGGATCATTTACCGTCCCGAGGATACTCAACCTCAACCGAGTTTTAGGATTGTTTACCGTCCTGAGGATGCTCAACCTCACCGAGTTTTAGGATTGTTTACCATCCTGAGGATACTCAACCTCACCGAGTTTTAGGATCATTTACCGTCCCGAGGATACTCAACCTCAACCGAGTTTTAGGATTGTTTACCATCCTGAGGATACTCAACCTCACCGAGTTTTAGGATCATTTACCGTCCCGAGGATACTCAACCTCAACCGAGTTTTAGGATCATTTACCGTCCCGAGGATACTCAACCTCAACCGAGTTTTAGGATCATTTACCGTCCCGAGGATACTCAACCTCAACCTTATTTCTAACCAAACCCTAACCTGGATATGGCTAACCTTTCGTTTACTCAACTATGGACAATACCTGGTCCTATAGTCATATAACAATCCTTAGTAACCAACGTGGACGGGTCCCGCCTGATCGGTCCACGTTAACCCACTCAAAAACTACCCGTTTTGAGTATAACTCAATACTCGATCGAGTACCCATCAATACTCGGTCGAGTACAGGAGACAGGAGCCCATAAGGCTAATTTTCAAGGCATACTCGATCGAGTATCTATCCATACTCGATCGGGTATAGGAGACAGCGGCCCTTGGGGCCAATTTCTCAGCAGACACCCGGTCGGGTATTGTAGTTGACTTGGCGGTCAACGCCCGTTTGACCGCCCAAACGGAGTTCGATTAACGTGAAATTTTACATGCATAATCTACTTGAAGTCCTTGATCCAAAAATACCATTTTTGACCCCTGGATCATTGTACATAATAAGTTATCACATTTTTAATCACCAAACATTCAAAACATGCTTTTCAACTTTGTTTTATATATAATCATGGCATAAGCCAATACTTGATTAACTTTAATCATTCCGTAAAACATATACTTGATTACTTTAGGTAATCTCATGCCTCAATCAAAAGTTATAAAGCATATAGCCGTCTTCTCACCTTAATGAAGCTTATGAAATTCTAGCCTTTCCGATTTAGCCCCGGTGAAACTCCGGTGAACTTCAACGAACTCCGGTGACAACTCCGGCAACTCTTTCAACTCCGTGAAAGTCCTTGAAGCACCTTATACAAGTTAATAACAAGGTTTTATCATCATAAAACCCATATCACCACAAATAACCTCTAAAAGGTTATTTTCCGACAAACCCGTCAACTTTGCTCTCAAAGCTCGTTTTGGGTTTAGACCAACTCACCAACTCCCATTCTACACCTTTACATGTGAAGAGATATACTAGGAGTATGTAATAGGATTAAAGAGAAGAAATGGGGTTAATGAAGTCATTACCTTATTAACCACAAGTTTTCCTTCTTTTTCTCTCCTTTCTCTTCTTCTATTTCCTTCCTTCTTCCTCCCCTTGCTTAGGTGCGTGTATGGAGGCTTCTATGGAGTATTTTCAGAGCTTCTCTCACCAATGAGGATAGTATGGACGAGCTGTATGAGGTGGGATGATTGAGAATGCCTTTTTGGCATTTCTCCCAATAATAACATGGGTGAGGTCCACTTCCTTTGTTGATTGGTCTTCCAATCAATTCCATCTTGCTCCTTCACAGTATTGTGCGGCTCCTCTTGCTCTTTGCAAGACCAAAATACGTGGGGTGGCCCCCACATATGTGGGAGGTCATCCCTTTGTGTCCCCAAGTGTACACTTGGTCCCGAAAGTTGTATTTTCCGGACTGTTTTAACTATATTTCGTTTTATCGGGTAAAATGAAATATCTATCATTCTTCCAATTATTATTGGTTATGAGAATGAATGTACATCCCCAACTTTTAATTTGATGGTCTCCATAATTTATTATGGCTTTTTATCTGATATTACTTCGGTACCGATAAATGGGCTTCATATGCCCAACAGGTTACTCACATGATTCCTATGGCCCAACCAGGCTATCCACCATTATACACATATCATCTTGACCCAAATGAATATAATATGTGGTCCCGATAATATCGGGCGGCCCCCCACTTCCGGTGTGGGCCCCACGTGAATTTTACTATTCACGTAAAAGAAATGATAAACATTTACAATTACGAAAAATGCATTTATTCATTTCCCAGAGTTCGATACATAATTCGGTAAAGTACAAATACTTGGGGGCGGTGTTACAAGTTCTACCCCCCTTATTTGGGATTTCGTCCCCGAAATCCACGTGTCTAGTCGAACAGAAATGGATACTGCTCCCTCATCAGGGTCTCCACTTCCCAAGTCTGCTCCTCGACACGATCACTCTTCCAAAGTACCTTCACCATCGGTACCTCTTTACTCCTTAGCTTCTTTACCTGTCGGTCCATGATCCTTACCGGCTGCACCGCATAGTGAAGGTCTTCCCGGATTTCTACCGGTGGTTTCTCAAGAATATGTGACGGGTCCCGTACATATTTCTTGAGCATGGAAACATGAAATACATTATGGATCCTTTCTAACTCTGGAGTTAGTTGAAGTCGATACGCCACAACCCCAATCCTTTCAATGATTTTGAATGGGCCGATGTAACGTGGGTTAAGCTTACCCCGGCTGAGGAACCTGATGATCCCTTTCCAAGGTGACACCCTCAGAAACACCTCATCACCGACCTCAAACTCCAACGTCCTCCGTCGTTTATCTGCATAGCTCTTCTGCCGGTCTTGGGCAGCCTTGAGTCTATCCTGAATGACTTTCACCTTCTCCTTGGTGATCTCAACTAGCTCAGTACCCTCAAGCTTGGCCTCGCCAACCTCATCCCAACACAAAGGTGTCCGACATTTCCTCCCATACAATGCCTCGT